GGGCAGGACGAGGATTCACAGACGGCCTCCATAGCCGTGAAAGGGCAGGACGAGGATTCACAGACGGCCTCCATAGTCGTGACAGGACAGGATGAGGATTCACAGACGGCCTCCATAGCCGTGACAGGACAGGCAGAGAGTTCATCAACAGTTCCTTCGACCACGACATGACAGGCTGAGAGTGCATTGCTGGGCACCACCACCGTACAAGGAGCTGAAGCGAGCGCCGCCACCTCGGGAGGTTCTGCAGCACACGCCACCACCTCTGGAGAGGCTGCAGCCGGCGCCATCGCCTCTGGAGAAACAGCAGCGAACTCCACTACCTTGGGAGGTTCTGCAGCATCAGCCGCCACCTCCGGAAACATCGTAGTAGGCGCCGCTGTTTCAAGAGTCTCAGTGGTGGTGTATGCAGCCCAAACACTCCATAAAGCGATCCCCATTATGGGAAGCGCTACAGACAGGGGAATCGGATCAGGAACAGGAGGGCTAGAGTGAATGGATTCGGGGATACCAGCTGCGACTGCTGACACCAGCGTTGGATCCTCCACGCTGGATGCCAGTCTGGGATACAGAAGACCTGACCTCAAAGATCTGAGTGCAACAAACGGGAAGTGACGAGACTCTGGACGACCAGCTGTGACGTGACAAGACTCTAGACGACCAGCTGTGATGTGACGAGACTCTGGATGAACAGCTGAGACGTGACGTGACTCTGGATGTGACTCAGTTGTGTGTGTGTAATTGGTAGCAGGTGAGCTTGTGATTAGTGCAATGGAGCATGGGAAATGTAGTCCAGGGTGATGTGTAACAGTCTGTGTGGTGTGAGAGTCGATATAATGGGAGGGCGACCTCTGGTGGCAAGCAGACGGAAGTTCATGGACAGGATTTGTGACTGTGTGTGTGTGTGTCTGTGTGCACCTACTTAACCTTATTTTGGGGACAAACGTGTACCCAGAAGTGAGTTAAAATTGAAATAAAAGCAAGATTAAAAGATTAAAAAAAATACCCAAGAAAAAAAAAATACATTTATGGACATTGACAGAAGTGAAACGTAGAGTAATTCATGGAGGCATGGAGGAAA